CCAGCTTTCTTTTGCATTTTGTGTGACCAAATTGACAAATATATCCTAATTCTGGAAGTGATTATATTTCAGAGGTTAATTTAACTTGTGTTATTCCAGAGAGCAGAACTAGGGTCCTTGGGTAGAAGTTCAGGGAGGCAGATTTCCAATGATTGTAAGGAAGAATTTTGTAACAGTGGATTGGACTGCCTTGCAAAATATTGAGTGCCCATTGCTGAAAGTGTTCAAGCAAAGGCTGGAGGCAATAGAAAGTATTCCTGCAATGGGAGACTTCTAAGGCTTTGTCTAACTCTTAAGATTCTGTGATTTAAGAATAATTGCCCTTCAAAGCTGGAAAACATTTTAAGATCCTCTGAAGACAAGTATCATAGGGATAGAAATTTAATATACAATACTTTATTCTTATATGTAGTACTTTTTGCTAGTTTTTGGAAAGTCATTAACGTACCATCAGACTATCTTAATCCACTCCACTAGTAAACTCTTTGAGGATAGTGGTTGCCAGGATTGATTTTGTTTGAAAAGCAACTGAAGGTTAGTAGAGTCATGTAAGTAAACTAGAAACCAGCATTATAGTGACATAATTTTTCCTGGGCATTGTTGAAAACATTTATGGTATAATAATATATGTACATCAAGTTATCATACTAATTTTCTTGAGGTGAATGATTAGTGTACATTAAGACACATCTACTTGATATGACTTAATTCACCAAACTTGGTTATTTTAGAGTCTTTAGGTATGTCAATAGTCACTTTTGACATAAGTAATTAAATTAGTCATGTGATAAGCTCAGTTGTTGAGCTAAATGACTGACGTTTCTACTTGCTATACTAGTCTGGTTATTTCAGTTGTTTATATGTGGCCGAGGGTGCAAAGGAATCCTGGGACTAGTGTGTGTGTGTGTGTGTGTGAAACAATCAACATTATTAACGTGATTAATGAGCTAGTTACCTTTCCCTTTAAATTGTTTTCCCATTTCACTTCATCCAGAGCTGTGTTCAGCTGAGTTGTCTCCTGGTCCTTGTATTCCAGCCTATGTTCCAGGATGCTATCTGACTTGCATGTATTTGCTGTTGCATCTTTTGCTGCATGAATAGGTTGAGTTGTTTGTTTTAAAAAAAAAAAAAAAAGCAAAAAAATTTAGAGAACCATGAAAGAGGAAACTTAATTGTGTGAGGCTGGAAATTTAGATTTTTTAAAAACTAATCATATTAAGCATTTTTTTAATACTTTTTCACTATAGGAATTTTAACATTTTAATACTGTCATTTTTTCAGTATTCATTCATTAGGGGTTAAACAAATCTATTGATCATCTTCTGGGTGTGAATGACTATTATAGATACTAAGATGTATAAGAGATGTACTCTATCAGGATTATGTAATCTTGGGAGGGAGGAGTAGGGAATGGAAGAAGAAAAACCATGAGGGGAGAGGGGAGAAAAAGAAACTGTATGTACATGAACAGCCAGTTTGTAATGGCCATAAGTATTGTCTAAATTCAGATTATAAGTTCACTAATGGCAAAAGTAATGCCAATCTCTAAATCTCTTGGGTCTTTCTCTATGCCAGGCATCATGCTAAGTGCTTTACATGGATTGACTCATTTACTCCTCACAATATGCCCATGAGAAACTGCTATTGTCCCCATCTTGCAGATGGAAGAAACTGAGGCAAAGAGCTAATAAGGAATGTGCTTAGTGACACTCAGCTGTTGAAGCTGTAATTCAAACCCAGATGTGTCTGACTTTAGAATCTGCCATCTTTTTCCTTAGTGGTAATCAAAGAGAAGTATACAAAGTAGATGGCTCTTGAACTAGGCTTTGAAGAATGGGCTGAATTTCTATAGGCTGAGATGGAAGCTGGGAAGTAGAGAATATTCTAGGTGGAGAGAAGCTGTGTACACCAAGATTCAGAGGCAAAAAAGTACAAGGCATATCTGAAGGACTTAAATAAACCAATTTGAGTAAGGATTTGTTTGGAAAGAGTAATAGGAGATAAAGGTGAAGAGGCAGCTAGGGCTGCACAGGGACTGCTAGGCTTAGGTATGTGAACTTCACAGAGAAGGTAATGCAAAGTCCTCAGAGGCTTTTGAGCAGATATGCACACAGTGGTGTTTTAAGAAAATTAATATAGCAGCTGTGGGCCAGAAGGTTTTGAGAGAGGGAGGCCATGAGTGGAACCAGTTAGAGGCTGTTACAGTGGCCCAGGTATGAGATAATAAAGGTCTGAATTGGGAATGTGAAGTGATAGTGGAAAGAAAGGGGCAGATGTGAGGGATCTTGGAGAAGAAACAAAGGACCTGGGGACTGGTTGGGCATAGGAAAGGAGGAGTCAGAGATGCCATCTCTAGGGATATATTGTTATTCCTAGATAATAAATGTTTCCTAATTAATTGGCAATTTAAGAATTATCTCTTTCCCTCTGTCTTTCTAGTATGAATTTTCAGAATTGATACCTATATTGATCTAGGGTCAGATAGATACAGTGAACTACTACAAAAATCCTTTAGTTTTCTGTAGTGCTTTAAATTTCTCAGAATGTTTTTGTGATCATGTTCTAAAACTTTCTAGAACAACTTCATAAGTTATGCAAGACAGGTTACCAAGGTTAAAAGACGTGCTGAAGGTTATAAAACTGGTTGGTGTAAGAACCTGAACTAGAGCTAAATTCCTTGGCTCTTGGTCACATCTCTTTCCATGGTGTGATAAGAGAAAGCATGAGTTTCTGATCCTGAGAACTTACTGCCAGAATAGTAAAGGAACCAAGACTTAAGACACAATCAAGAACTCACACTCTCTTTGGAGTTCATTTATATTGTAACCTTGACTACCTAGAACAGAATTATTTAACTCTGTGCAAATCATTAAGTGATAGCCTTATTTAAAGCCTTGGGCATTTAGTTTCCTTACTCTTAGAAGATTATTACCAATAAAAAATAGGAATGAGAAGTATCAGGTGCTGCTAAACTAAAGACAGGCCCCTTATAGTTCTGAGAAATGATAACTGATGGTATTACCGCAAGGG